TCCCTACGGATGACCAACTCACTCACTCACTCTCCTCCTCTTTTTTTTTCCATTCTCCATCCTTTTGTTCCCCCCTTTTTTTTTTTTTTTTTTTTTTTTTGACATGACAAGTCTTAACTAGCTGTTGAGACTATTTCTAGGCTTTGAGTCTTGATTTAGTCCTAGTTCATGCCCAAGGGGCAATTCGTTATTTCTCGGACTGCAATTATGGCACCTCCAATGCAGACGGGAGCCTCATTTTGTCGCCGTTTACTCAAACTGTGATCCCTCCTGCTCCAGTTTTCCCTTGATGGTTTGTTTCTCCTATGGGGCATCTCAAGGTTTTAGTTTCTCTAATCTGGCTGGTCTGAGATATCTCGGATTGCCATCTACACCCACCTTTCTCATTTCTTCTCCTCTTTTTTCCTTTGTGGCTTTCCCGCTTGCTCTCACTAGTGTTTGTACTAGTGGTGTTAATATTTTGAGCCATTAGATTTTGATATCGACGATGCATCTTTCTCGGATCATTCATTCCTTGTGATGCCCTCATATTTTTTTTGGGACATCTCAAGTCCACTACACTTATCTTGTATTAGCCATCGACACTAATCTCTTCAGTGGTCCCGCGGGTCCCGGTGTCAATTTGTGATTATTTTTATTTGAACCCACGTGGTATCCGACATCATTCCACGCGTCGTCCCAATTTTAATTGGGGCTCTCTAGTCCCAGGCAGTTCTAACTTTATCTGCTTCATGTGTCTCAAGTGTGCCAATTATTCTCGGTCATGTGATCTTGATTTTGCAGTCGTCGTTCAACGTCGTAATTTGACCTTCAAGCTTGAGACCTTCTTTTCTAGTATCGTGCGGTCGTTGAGGCTTAATTTTTTATGTCTTTGACACTCCCTTGTAGTCCGTTACGTCGAGGAGTGCAATGGTGACCCTTTTTCTAGTCTCATTGCCCCAATACTTATCTCAAACTGAAACAAAATGAAGCGACACATCCCCGAGTGCATCCGGACCCAATATTTGTTCCGAACGTGCTTGAAGCATGCGTTTGCTTAACTTTTTGCGATCGGTTGCATCTTGGCCTACCTCCTTTTTAATTTATCTTGATTTTCTCCTCGAAAATCAAGAATAATCATATTGTCATGTAACCGTTTTATCAATGGATGAATTCAATCAAAAAATGTATCTAAAACATGTGTTTTTTTTTGCTCGAGGTGCTCATTTTTGTTCGTTTTTGTCCCAAGTGCATCTTAGACTTAATGCCGTCTTGTTCAAGGCATCTAGGCCTCTTTTGGGAAGAGGCAATTTGACCATGATGTGGCGGCTTGCCCTTTTTCTATTCCCACGCATTCTCCCTCTAGGCTCTTTTCTCCTCACCTTTGGTGTTCGTTTGGTTCCGGATCCCATTAGGACTCATTTTTAAGGTTCAACGTACCTGAGTCTTCCATACTCAAGGCCTTTATGATCCATTGCATCCTCCTTGAGTCCCTTCTCTAAAGCCTTGAAATTGAGGCTCTTCTTCACTTTTTTTAGTCCTTTTTATTTTTGGCTCCCAAGGCCACTGCAATAACTCATACTGTATGCCTTGTGGAAGTCTCAGGGCTACAGGCCGCGGTCAGACACAGGTCGAAGGGGGGCAAAACACCCCACAAAAAGATTTAGGGCCTCAACGATATGCAACTGACTAAGTCTACTGTCGGTCTACCCAACAGTCAAAGTCAAAGGTACCTAGCCCAGACCGTTGGTCAGGCACACACGTTTGTTTGTATGCAGGTACCCAGACAACATCAAGACCAAAGGGAAGTCTACAACTGTACACAATCCAAACCCTCGGTTGTGAGTCAATCTGGACAACTGTGGGGGAGGGAACCGAGGCCAGATAACCTCACCAAATGCTACTTAAAGGCTGGCTTCGAGGTGGTCAACATTCAGTCTTGCTATGCTGCTTGGACGCTGGCTTGACTTCAATCAGATGCTGACATTGATATTGGCACGATGCCGGCGAGACGCTGGTTGGACGTTGGTTGTACGCAGACACTGTGGATGACGACGCAGATTGTGACGACATGCTGGCGCGTTCTGCATTGTGCGACAGACATTGCCGATGTGGCGTTGCCTACGGTCTACATTGCATGTTGATGTGGCGCTGCCTATGATCTAAATTCCATGTTGATGTGGCGCTGCCACTGGTCTATATTGCATGCTGAGGCTCTGTCTGTGTCTACATTGCATGCCGATGTAGCACATGCTACAGGTTTACATTGCTGATGTGGCGCATGCCACTTGTCTCGACTGCTGACGTGGGATTGGCCACGTTGTCTACATGAGGTGACTGGTTGCGACAAGGAGGAAGATCGAGATCTGTGGATGATTTGGATACGAGATACTTAATTGAGACCGAGGTCGATATTGTTCGTTGTTGGTTGTCTTCATTGTCTCTATGAGAGAGTGGTGCTACGTGACACTTCTGTGATATCGAGAATGATCAAACTTGTTACTATTATTTGATGACGTGGAGGGAAAGGAAGCCTGAAGAAGAAGTGGGATTGGTTGGGTTACTATTGTATGATCTTTGATCACTTCTTCCACCTTCTCCCTTGTCTCTCCTCCCTCCACTCTTTTCGTGTATTGGTAACGAGATATTGTTGAAGATATCATTTTCACATTAACTCAAGACTTTGTATAGATCTGAGACTACTGGACTTCGACGTCTGATGAGTATCTTCCTGACTGGGTTCATTACAAATAGGTATCAGAGCTAACTCCTTCATAGCAATTTATTGTCCGGTGCTGATGTGGCAGCCAGGTAAGTGGGAAGCGCCGCATGTGCAAAACGAAACGCGTTTATTAACGCTCGCGGTAATACCGCAAGTCTAGACATTGTACTTTTGCACGTGCGAGCAACTGTTCCTTGAAGATGATGACGCGGATGCACTGAAGACTTCAAGATACCGGCGAGAGCTTCGTTGGCAACAGGCTAATGTGACGCTGGTTAAGAGAGAGATTGGTACCGATGATGTGGTATTCCTGTTGTTGATGCGTTGACGTGGCATGCTAGTATTCAGTGTGTGGCAGACCTGCACTGCTGACGTGGCATCCATTTTTGTAGACCTTTCGGTCCTTGACGCTGACGTGGCAGAACAACTGCATTGGCATGTCAGGGGTGACACGTGGCATGCAACATATGTTGTCACGGAAGCACTGTTGACTGCTGGCTTGTGTTGGTTTCATTGCTGCTGCAGATGGTACAACCGGAAAAGGAAGGAAGCTAACCATTGATTGTGTTGTTGTGTTGGCTCTCTACTCACCTGTTGGTTATTCTGTGGTTGGTGTGTATACTTACGAGTGTGTTGTTGTCCTGATCACACTGACCATGGCTGCGCTACCTGTATATTTGCTGTAAAACGTCATCACACAGAAAACAGACAACACAGTTAGATTAGGAAATCAGAATTTGTTTCTCTTTGTCTTCTTTGATTATTTCTTGCTGCAGGAGTTGCGTGTGTTGTAGAATATTCTTGTGTTCTGATTTTATTTATTGTGTGACATCTACACGCTGGAAAAAATAAATTCTCTCTGAAAATGTCTGCGTGCCTCCATCTTGACGTGGTTCATTCCTCTTCTTTCTTTCCTATCCCGCTCATAGTCTATGCGGATGAAGAAGGGGGTAAACTAAAGACCCGTGGCCAAATTGAAACAAGAAAGCAGACCTTGATCGGCTTTCTCCACCAGTTTCTCGATGAGGTACACGGCGTCGATTCAGAGATTGAACAACAGATTCACGACCAGTTCAATATGTGTACCGCAGAAGGTGAACTGAAAGATGTCGAAACAACCGTTCAAGTGATGGAAACTTGTAAGAGGGTCGAGGACCTCATAAAGCTCGTGGAGACCGGTAAGAGAGTCGAAGGGTTTAAACGAAGACGAAGGTAAAAAGTCAATAACCTCTTCTAACCTCTCGACTTTCAAGGCAGAGGATGACTCTTTTTCCGCCTATCGTCCAGAACACCTTGACATTGTGCTTTGTTCTGTGTCACTAGACGATTCCCTTGACGAGCTCGACAATGAACTCATAGCACTTCGGAGTTAGTGGTCGAAGAAAGCTAAGTCTAAGAGTGAGTTAATGATCGCGGAAATTGAGATTGCGCACATGCGAGTTGGTGCCCTGTTAGATCCAGGATCGACACGGTCTTACATCTTAGAGAAGACAATTCGAAAATTGCATCTGGGAATGAAGGTGAAGGATTTACCTCGACTTATCACGTCTATGCTGGTTGACAAGAGCACGATCACTGTTTCTCAATACGCCGATCATGTTGAGTGTCATTTCATGTCCAAGGAAGGAAAAAAAATCTTACACGAAATATCTTTTCTAATAGAAAAGAACGTGTCATTTGACATGATTATGAGAATGGATTGGCACGAGGAAGCCGACCCAGAGGTAAGGTTCAAAGATAAAATTGTCAAACTCAAGGACAAGAAGTCTGAACTACATGCTATAAAGTTATACCATAGGTCTGACCCTGACTCCGCCCTATCTTTTTGCTATACGAGTTACCAAACCTTTCGTTTCATGCTAGTAAAAAAGAAGTTGGATCAGGAGTTGATGATAGTGCTTGTCAAGGGAGTCGGTGATTATTCCTCACCCTATTCACCTTCTATCGAAAAACTACTCAATGAGTATAAGGACTTGCAGACTGAGCCCATAGGAATCACCGAGCGTGCTATTAAGCACACGATCGAGATCATTCCCAAAAGCAAGATTCCCAAGGGTCTCATCTACCGAATGTCTCATAGGGATCTTGAGGAACTGCGTAAGCACCTACAAGAACTTACTGACAAAAGATGGATTCGCCCTAGCTCATCTCCTTATGGTGCGCCTATTTTGTTCATACTAAAAAAGGAAGGTGAACTTTATCTATGTATAGATTATCGTGGGCCGAACTACCTCATTGTAAAAAACGCGGAACCACTTCCACGCATTGACGACCTGTTGGACTAGTTGTAAGACTGCAGATACTTCAGTAAGATTGATCCAAAGTCAGGGTACCACCAGATCGAGGTGGCTATTGAAGATCAACATAAAACGACGTTCCGAACCAGGTATGGTCACTATGAGTTCAGGGTTATACCTTTCGGTTTAACCAATGCGCCTGCGATCTTCCAAAGGTCAATGAATGAATTGTTTTGTCAGTGGTTTGATCAGTTCGTAGTAGTCTTTCTCGATGGCATTCTAGTATATAGTAAGACACTAGAACATGACGAGAAACACCTACGAATCGTTTTGCAGAAGTTAAGCGAGGGCAACTTCAAATTGAATCCGAAGAAATATGAGTTTGCTAAGCCTGACGTCCTGTACTTAGGACATATGGTGAACGAGGAAGGACTAAGGCCGAAAAAAAAGAAGATTACAACAATCCGAGATTGGCCACAACCTAAGACTATAATTGAGTTAAGATCTTTCCTATGACTGGCTTAGCTACTACAGGAAGTTCGTCACAAACTGCTCCTTGATAGCAGCTCCTATGAGAAGGCTGCTGAAAAAGAAAAAACCTTGGTTGTGGGACAAAAATTGTGAGTCATAATTTAGAAAGTTAAAACATTTTGTGACTCACTACCCTATCTTAAATATTGTTGACCCTTCTCTTTCTTATATCGTTACGACTGACGCAAATCAGTTTGAGATTGGGGTTGTGCTACAATAGGACGACGGTAAGAAATAAAGACCTATTGAGTTTTGTCCAGAAGACTTCTGTCAGAGAAAGTGACAAACTCCACCTATGAAAGGGGATTGTTTGCAATAGTTGCCGCATTAGATACCTGGAAACATTACTTGTTAAGAAAACATTTCACTGTCTATTCTGACCACTCTACTTTGAAGTGGATCAAGACTCAACCTAGACTCTCTGCCAAGTTGGGAAGATGGTCGACTTTTCTTGATACGTTTGACTGTGAGGTGAAAACCATCAAAGGTAAGCGTAACGTGGTTGCAGACGCTTTGTCCATACGTGCAGATTTCTTTGGAACCATCGTCTCATACCTCGACATTGGGAACGAACGAAAAGAACAGATCCGCAAAGGTTATGGTAGTAATCCTATTTGGAGTCCCATCATTGAGACTTTACGGAAGAACCCAAAATGAGAACATACAATACAAAATGAAAAACGAATGGTTATTTCAGATTGCTTATATGGACGCTGCAGAGCCTTGGCAATACGGATTTCAAGATGCAACCACTTCTATGATGCAAGGAATTATTGAGTGCGTCCAGGTCACAGATCTCGATTGCAGGGCGGCTCCAACTCTGCCACACCATCTCAAGCAGGCCCAGGCCAAGGGTGTGAGCCTGAATATCGAATGACTGATGACTTACTCTTCTATTTTAATCAAAACGAAGAAAGATTATGTATTCCTTACCAAAAACCAATCAAGAGTGTAATCATTGGGGAATGTCATGATGAAGAATGTCACTTAGGTTTTAAGAAGACATATGCTGATGTGCGAACGTTTTAAATGGAAAGGAATGAAGGAAGATGTACTAACCTATGTGTGGATTTGTCTTGTCTGTCACATGAGAATCCGATGGGACTGTTGAGACTGCTGCCTATTTCGAGTGAGCTAGGTGAATTTATTTCTAGTGACTTTATGAGTCTCACTAAAAGTCGAAATGACAACAGTCAGGTAATGGTCATCGTAGATAGATTCTCTAAGTACGGTATGTTCATTCCTTTGCCTGCTGAAAATATAATCGAGCTAGTAATCAAGAAGTTTCAGATGCGATGAGTCTTTGAGTATGGATTCCCCAAAACCATCGTCTCTGATAGGGAGGTTCGGTTCACTAGTCTACAATGGCAGAAATTGATGGAAGTCTATGGGACCAGATTGACATTGTCGTAAAACAGACATCCTCAAACGAATGGTCAAACTGAGCAAATGAACCGTCTTGGCCAATAACTTTTGCGAATGTATGTCCGACCTGATAAGATAGATTGGGATGAGAACTTGCCTAAAATTGTTAGTGCCTATAATAACAGCATACATACTGTTACAGGTAGAATGCCTAATGCACTGCGTAAAGGATGAAAGCGTAGGTGTCCCATTGATGCGTTAATAAGGGACCAGATTCAGAGGCTACCCCCAGGTACGCGTGAATTCGCAGTTTTGTATGAAGAAGATATTAAGAAGGTTAAGGAAAACATACAGAAAGCCCAACTACAAATGATTGAACAAGCCAATAAACATCGTCGACCTTCACAATTGCAAGAAGGGGATTTGTCTGCGTTAAGTCTAAAGAGTTTTCCTGCGTAGCATGATATTCGTGTCCGGTCGCCGAACGCGAACGTTTTTTTTTTTTTT